GGGCGGCCTCCTCGCGGGGTATCAATTGTTGGGGGGGGGGGGCTGGTTTAGCAGCGTGCCTGGCTCTCCAGCTATAGCAACAAAGGGATTTCCTGAAACGGTAGCTATTGTACAAACCATCACTGGCAGATTCATCATCAGGTCAATGAGTACATGCAGAGCACCCGAGGAGCAGTTTATGAACAGTTATATGTGGATCCCAGGCAGTGTTCCCTCTAAGCTGAGTCAGTGTGAGCCGGCTCACAGTTCTTTAGCCTCCGGCTCACACATTTTTGTCTTCGCTCAGGAAAGCCGGCTCCAGAGCAGACTAATTTATGCAGCAGCCAAATCGCTCGCTCAGAACTTTAGTGACAGGTGTTCCTCCATCAATACTTTATATAATTTCGGCATCATTTTATCACTAGAAGAGAGCCAGATATCTTGTCTAGCTCATTTTTCCCTTCATCAAATCCTCTTTTTTTAATCTATATTATATCTTGAGTTTAATTGCATTCTATCCTACCAAGTCAATTTTATGTTTTGCTTTTCTAATTGGTCGACCGTCTTTATATTATTGTTGCCATCTAACAAATCTCCATATGTCAACCTCCTCTTTTCCTCCACCAATGTTAACATTGTTACTGCCTCTAGCATTTGAGAAAAGATGGAAAATGTTTTATATACGGCTGGAGAATGTAAATGGATAAGACTCACAAGAATAAAATGTAAATCGATGTACTGATATAAAATGCAAAAATTAAAATAAACTGTTAAAAAAAAAGAACTTTAGTGACAGTAGCTCACAAAGCCGAATTCTTGCTCACAAGACTCCGCAGCTTAGAGGGAGCATTGATCCCAAGTACCAGTTGAGCACATTTATTCATAAGCTGGGGTTCAAGGGCCTACAGATCTCCTAGTGGAACCTCCAGGAATAGTGGCAGAGTACCCCTCCAGTCAGCAGATGTCAGGAGGGAATCAGCAACAGAGAGCTGGTATCGTCTCCAGGCCTGGACTTTGTGTGGCTGCTTTTTGGAAACGGAATGATGGAGCAGATGTAGCCTTGACTCAATCCAGCCAATGAGCTTTATTTTATGTATTTCAGTTAGCAAATGGCCTTGCACCTGCCTCGGAGCATTTGGTTAAAATAATGGGTTTGTTTTTGTTGAGGGTATTCGTATACGGCCTCTCCAGCCGTCCGCTTGAGGCAGCAAACAATGAAAAGTGGGGAGGGGAGAGTAAAACATTGAAATGAACCTCCCACCAGCAATCATACCATCCCAATCTACAGGCATAAAACCAACAAGCGATAAAAACATGAATAGCTCAATGGCATAAAACCATCCCGAGAGCATAAAGGCAGGTAAGGAAAACATCAACTGTGGGATACCAGCTGAAGATCATAAAAATAACAAACAGTGAAAAGATGGGCTGGAGCTTCAGTCAAAAACCTAGGTCAACATAAATGTTTTAGCCTGGTGCTTAGGTGGTCACAAGCCAGGCAGCCCTCAGGTGGGGGTGGGCATTCCAAAGACGGGGTGCCACCACCAAGAAAGTCCTGTCTCTGGTTGCTGACTTCCTTGCCTCCACAGGCAGGGCCACAGAGCAGGGCTTGAGGGTAAGGAAATGCTTCTTTCCTCAGAGAGTAATTAAAACTGTGGAGTTCAGTGGAGAGGTAGTGATGACCAGGGGTCATTTCGCAGAAAAAGAGGTGTAGGAGCTCATTAGCATAACTTATTTGCATATGCCACACACCCTGACATCACTGGAAGGCAACACCCACCGCTCAGGCTCCACTGGACTGTTTTGGATTGCTAGCTATTGGGGGGGGGGAACGTGGAGATCTGCCCTGGCAGAGGAGGGAGAGCTTATACCTGAATAAAACTTGATCTTAAAGG